AAAGAGGAACTAAACTGGGTGAATCAGTCACATGCAGATAGCTATTTTCAGTATATCTGGCACCAAGACATGAAGGGTAAACGCATAATAGAAAGGTTGTGTTGTTTTGAACAATATAGATTTTCTGTCTTTTCTCTAAACTCCAGTTACAAACTACCAGCTCATTAAAAGACAGCGTTTAATAATAAATTACCGTAATTATTGAGTTATTTCCCCAAGTTTACTACATCAGGGGTTCCCAAACTTTTCAATGCCCCCCCCCCCCCCAATCCAAAAAAAAAAACTGTGTTAGCTTCTGGCCGAGGCCCCCCCTCGCAAACCCACAAACAATGCTACAAAATATAACATCAACTATTAGAATGTTTTAAATTGTATTCACTATATTCAGTTGTTACAGCCGCTGAGCCGCTGAGCATAAAAATGTTATTAACTAACATGTTTTAAACACCGTATTATATTCCCACTGAATAAAAACAACAACTTTTCAACAAACTGTTGACCAGAAGAACAAAACAAAAGAAATCTAACCGCTCTCTCAATCATGTTTATCTGGAAATAACAGATACAGATTGCCCTAGTGGGCAATTTTTATTATTATTACTACTATTTTTTTTTCTGCTTCTTTTTATCTTCTTCTGCCCCCCCCCCCCCCCCCCCCCACACACACACACACACTTTGAAAAACACTGTACTACAGTCTAAATGCTTCAGAATCATTCTTTTTGAACTAAATGCAGGACACCTCTTCAAGACTAACAGACTAATACAGCTTGGCCTTTGAACAATCAAATTTGATTTACTGGTAGTAAAGTCATTTTTGGACAATTCATCCATGAATATGTATTAAAAAAAAACTATAAAACTTTACATTTACAGTACTTCTATCCAGCTAGGTCAAAAGTAGTCTGCCTTTGTCCAAGCGTTTCTTCGTCTTGATAAGTTTGAAGTTTCTAATGATGTCTCATTTAATGCTGTAGGAGCCAGTGAGGTCAGAGGAAGGAAGAGACATGTCCGGCAGGATCAGTGCTTTTGGCTACCTGGAGTGCTCTGCCAAGACGAAGGACGGTGTGCGAGAAGTGTTTGAGATGGCTACTAGAGCAGCCCTGCAGGTTCGCAAGTCCAAGTCAGGAAAAGGCTGCAGGTTGCTGTGAGCTGTTCGGATCCCAACAATTTAAAACTAACACATAAAAAGGACTGACTGGTTACCGAATGGTTCTTTGCACTGCATCTTACAATTTTAACAAATACACAAGTAAAGGACTTGTCTATTATTACGATATTTAAAAGCCCCCCGCCGCCACCCTCTTTTTGTCTCTACACATTGTTTTCCAACTTGTTTTTCTTTTGATTTGTAATAAAACGGGGCTGTGGTTGGAGTGCGTACGACGCCATACTGTTGTCACAAGGTTAAACCCTGCATCCTTCTTTCGTCTTTATGATTATTTTGTGTAAACAGTTCAGCGTCGTTTCAAACTTTCGGTGATGGTCTTAGAAAGAGAAAATCAAATTTGGCCACAAATTGTTTTTATGCCAACAGCATGCAGCTACAATATTAGCTGACGATCTCGTCAGTGCCATTTTGAGCAAATAACTTTAATGCCACTGACAACGTGCTTGTTGGTAACTTTTACAGACAGCCTGACAATTCTTTCTGCATTTTTACTTTACTCTTTTAGGATAGAAACAGTCAGCTACTTTCTGTTATGACGTAAATGATCAACAGCTTCCATTGTACATCAAAAGACTCACATCCACCTCAATATTATTAATCTGTGCAGCAGATGTATACCAGAGGTTGGTATACGGCCATTTAAAATGCAAGTCCAGAAACATCCCTACACGACAGCAGTCAGGATCAATGGGGAAATGATTGTGCTGAAAAAGGATCACATGACTGAGGTTAAATCTGCTACTGTTCAGCTGTTGAAGCGTTTGACCAATTAGCATGAACATAATGGGCTGTCAGTGCGTCGCAGGTTTCCAGTAAGATGAGATTCTTTAAATGTCAGAAGCTGCGATTGTTTTTCCTTTTGGCAACTTTTGCTTGTTCCCTCCCAGACCAGACCGACTGGGTGCTTTGTGGAGACTCAATACTGTTGAAGTAAAAAGTAAACTTTTGACCTGCTCAACATTGCTTTGTCCTTTTTATTGCTTGTGGTGTGTCGTTTTTTTTTTTTTTTTTTTGCTGGAACATATGCAGTCATCATTTATGGTTGTGATGTTTTGCATCTTCAGATTTAATCATGGAAGTTGCGAAACAATATATTTCACTTTCTTTGAAATACACGGCTCAGACACTCAAGACATCCACTGGTATTTTATCCTAAAAGCAGCCCGTCTTAGGCATATTTTGCTCAGCATAACTTTTAGAAATGTATAATCTAGTCCAGGGGTCTGCAACTGGAGCTACATGCAGCTCTTGGGTCCCTCTGCAGGGGCTTTGACCAAAACTAACATAGAACTGAATTTTGTTGGTTGCTATACAAACAACAAAAAGATACTAGTTTTAGCTGTTATCCTGTCATTTCATTTGCAAATACTTAACATTTTGCTATATTTCTATACTTGTTTTTTTTTTCCACAATTAAAAAAGAATAATAAATCGCATAGGTCTGCATAGTTCATAGTTTTTTTTACTTAAAAAAACTATTCCCCCTCCCTCTTGACAAGAATATGGTCTTTCCATTTGTCTTAAATTGTAATAATGTTAAAAATCATTAGATAGCTTTGTCACCCCTACTGGCCACAAAAGTCTTATCCAACAAACCTAAAGTGGCCCATGAGCCACCAGTTGATAACCACAGTTGTAGCAGGTTGTTGCGGCTCTAGAAACATTTAATTTAGAGAATGAATGTAAAAATGGCTCTTTGGATCATAAAGGTTGCAGACCACTGATCTAGACCTTCGAGGTCGTTTTGACCTCGAATGACTTGTTTGAAAATGTTTTTTGGATTGTCCTTTAATACTTTTACTCTGTGCAGCTTATTTATAGATTGTACACGTCTCCACTTTATGAAGGGTGATCTATGATAAACATCTGTGCAAAACAATACCCGTCTTGTTGCCACATTAGACCAGACAGCAGCTATTAAGGTGTCTAACTCTAGAGCTGCACTTCACATTTAATCCCTCTACTGGCATCTGAAAGCAGGTACAGGCAAGGATCAATATAGTATTTTTTTTGTTTTATTCTTTGTGAAAACAGTTCCTCATAGTTGTGGGCTAATGTTCAAAGGATTCAACAAGCTCATCCTTCCAAGAAACCTTCTGGGAGTCCAGCACTGACAGCTGAATAACTGCTGGAAGCACAATGTCTTTAGAAAAGCATTCCTGTAGAGCAGCAGTGGACGTGCTGTCAAACACTTTACTTAGAACAAGCCCTCTGCTGCTCATGTTGTGTAAATAGTTTCTTTTCTGTCAGCTTAGAAGTGGTTAAATCATTGATTCATGCCTGGGAAAACCTTTAACACACACACAAGCAGTAACATGCATGAGTGTATGGGAACAGCTTTTGCTCAGTGTGCAACCTTTCTTTGCTCCTTTGGCTGTGTTAATATGATTAAGGATGCAGAGTTATATAAAAGCTCATTGTAATCAAAACAAGTGCTGAAGTAAATCTCTACTTTGACGCATTACAAATTATGTTTGAGATGAGAGGTTTGTCTTCCACGCTTGTGATGACTGGGACAAAACTGGTGGGAATAGTCACGTGTGCAGAAAAAAAAGGGTTGCCATTTTTTATTCGTAATTAGGCAATAGATAGAAAATGAAAACATCTTTAACACATAAAGCTGCAGTCCAGTGAATTAGAGAAAGTCTAAACTCTGTTACTACATTGCTCTTAATTATTCAGTTACACTTAAAAGATTTAAGTCACTTGTAGAAAATACCTAAAATTAATAATTCCAGAAAATACATTCTCTTAAAAACGACAAATATGGAATATAGGCACTGAGAAGACAAAACATTAAATCTTAATACTTGTTGCACATCTTTATATAACGTGATTTCTGTCTTTGAGCAGCGGAGTCCACAAGTTAATCTTCAGTATTTGGTTTAGGGTCCACGTACTGCTGGAGGGGACTTCCTTCTGACACAGGACCTACAACAAACACACAAACACACTAATTTACTTTTTCCGATCAGCTGAAAACTTGTGAAACTGGCTTTTAGTAAAATGTTACAACTGTAGCTTCAAACCCAAAAAACAGAATTCCCGAGGTGAAAGCCTGACACATCCATCACATATTCCTAAACTGCCGCCATTAGAAGCTTGAAATTGTATCAATTTCAATTGTATTGAGCTAGTTTTCCCTAAGCTGATGTGAAAGCTGTACGAACATTTAGAATCAACGATTTTCAGCGCCGCCATTTTGGCCTGGAATTCGTCTCCCTTCTCTTCTGCATCCTTGGGCTCAACTCCAACATAGGCTTTCATCTTCACACAGTAGCTGATGAACCTACCAAAAAAAAGGCAAATTAAAATAAAACAAGTCCTTATGATCCTTCTCAATTCATTCACAAATTACTTCAGGGGTCTCACAGAAAAAGTTCTAACACTAAAATTTTCTCTCTCACGTATTTCTGCACCTCTTGACCATTTCTTTAAAACTTTTGTTTACGCTTGTCTCTTGGTTTTTGATAAAAATAAAATAAAAACATTATGCAAACATTACTTTAAAGGGTGTGCTAAATTAATCACTACGCAGGAAGCAAATGTAGACTAAAGAAGTTGCATTTCCTGTGAAAATGCAGTGTGAACGCTTATCGCAGAAGAACTTGCTGAAATGTAGTTGAAATGGAAACGAAAGTCTAAATTAGCAGAAGAAAGCAGAATGAACACATATTTGCAGAATTAGGTTTAAATAAGCAGAAATATGCACAAAAAATAGCTAAAAAAGCTGATTAGCAAATAGTAGCTGAAAAGTCAGAAAAAACTTAAACTACCAGAAGGAAGTGGAAGGAGCTAAAATGAGCTGAAAATGTGTGGAATTGGCAGAAAAAGCTAAAATTTGCATAAAAACAGCTATATAGTAGCTGAAATAGGAAGAGCAGAAAAAAAGTTGAAACTTGCAGAAAGAAGCTGAAAGGAACATAAGCCGAAATTAGCAGAAAGAAGTTAGAAGCACAAAGATGTTGTAGTTAGCAGAAAGAATCTGAAAAGAACACAAAAGAGATGGAAAAAAGTTTCAATTTGCACAAGGAAGCTGAAAGAAGCCGAACCAGAACAAAATGTGAAAGGAGCAGTAAAAGGTTGTAAACAGATCTAAAGGTCTGAAGGATGTAAAATGAGCACATTTTTTTATGAGAAAAAAAAAAGTGGCAGAAAAGGCTAAATATTTCAAAAAGCTAAAAAGTTGCACCAATACAAAAACTGATAGCACCCTTCTCCTGAATGTTTTGATTTAGGAGTTGTTGAAATAGCACAAAAACGGCAGAACGAGAAAGATGCTGAAGAACATACGGAAGAAAAATGGATCACAATAGTGTGTTTCATAAACATTCACACAAGTGAATAAAGAAAAGCCTGGACAACAAATCACAACACAGTAAAGAAGAAAAAAAAATACACAAAACAAACCATGTTCTTCTCAATAAAGTAAAAATCAAATGGTCGAATTTAAGTTTCATAAGTACAACTACAGCATCCCTTGTTTTTAGACAGGCTGTGTAAGCTAATAGGTTCAGCCTTCTATTAAAGCAACAACATTCAAACTTTTAAAAGTCACTTCTCTAGAAATATCCAAGTTTTCAACATCTGGACAAAACTGTCAAGTTAGGGAGACATTCAGATGTGTACTCCATTTAAATTGTTACTAAGGTCAAGTAAAATTTGTAAAACTGGCCATTAAGCCTTTAGAGGAAAACTGCTCATCTGTGATGTCTGCAGGAAGTTTGCAGTGTAGTTCAGACAGACTCCAAGACTAAATTAGTAAAATGCAAACATTGCAACATGTCTGGTTTAGACGAGAACTCAGACAAAATATCAGTGTTCTGTGTTGGCGTACTTCTTCCAGATGGGGTCCTTCCTGAGGATCACAGGATTCCCCACAACTATGAGCAGAGACTTGGCTCGCGTCATGGCCACGTTGAATCTCTGCAAAACACAAATAAGACACTTAAAAAAAAAAAAAATATATATATATATATATATATATATATATATATATATATATATATTTTTATATTTTTTTTTTTTCCTCTCTCATCTGGAGAAAAACATGCCAAAGATGCAAAAGTTGGAATTTTAAGTTAATGAACAAAACGAAAAAGGAAACAAACCTTTTCATTACACAAGAATCCAATATTGAATTCTTTGTCCGTCTTAACGTGGTTGAAGCAACTACGGACAGTAGAGACCATGATGATCTTCCGCTCTTGTCCCTGAAACTCTTCCACAGATCCCACCTGGTCCCATGAAAAGAATACATGTTCACTTAAAACGTGCACTGAGAGAAACCTGCTGCTGGTTTTCTTTTAAACAGACAGAAAAATGGGTTGAGTTAGGTTCATAAATAAATCTTTCCAAGTTATTCAGTTTTTGGGTCATCAACATTATATTAACTTTGATCAATTAATTTATGAGTAATTATGTCTTTTTATGGCAACACCTTGACCAGAACTTCCTGAAAAAAGAAAAAAAAAAATAGACTTGCCTGATCAAATGAAGAAGAGCAACTCAGTGAGGAAATATTCAAAATATCAGGAATATTTTCCATTGAGTGAAAATCCTGAAATCATGGCGGCCATGCTAACCTTGAGTTCTTCCAGATCACTCCAATGTTTGAGTGCGCTGAACCTCAGAGCCTTCTTGATTTTCTCAACCTGTTAGAGACATATTTTACTGATGTCCCACTAACATGCTCGTCTTTAAAAAATAAATAAAAAATCACATAGGAACACCGTGCGGTCTCACTTGTTTCCTGTAGGGGGCAATAATGCCGATGTCCTTAGCAGAGAGCTTGGGCAGACCCTTCTTCTCTTGGGTTTGTTCCAACTTGCTGAGGTACTCCACCAGGACTTCGATCTCTGACACGTTGAAGAACGATGGACTGTTGGCCTCTCGCTCATCTTTCCCCTGCACTCCACGGAAGATCAAAGGAAAACCCTGTTGAGGTGGAGAAAGCAGCTTCAAACAAATGGGGGAGCTTTGTAATGACCAGCGTTACATTTGCACTTCAGTGTCTGTCCAGCCAAACCTTTTGGGGAAGGGCATCCCATTTGCAGTAAGTCTCGCGCTCCAGTTTGTCAGCAAACACCTGCAGTTCATTGTCATAAAACAACTCATTGGGGATTTTCAAAATGGCACCGTGAGACCTAAGTAAAGGTGGGGAAAGAGCGGTCAGTAATCAAACAGGAAGACTCTAAAACAAAGTAACTTGGAGGTCCTGAACAAAGGCTGCACCTGTAGTTTCTCAGCAGTTTTGTGACGTAACGAGAATCAAAGTCTTGATAAAGTTCGAGCTTCATCAGCCTTTCCAGCAGAGAAAGTCCTGCAGAGAATTTATAGACATTGTTAGATTTTTGTTATTATTCTGATTCAATAATAAAAGAACAACCAATATACACTTAATTTGGCAAAACTTCAAGAGAAAACCAGTAAAATAACTAATACTGTGGTAAGAAAATGACCTAAAAGAGACAATCATCCAATTTTCTTGTCTTACCTAACTTGTACTCGATTGCATTCGAAGATCGAATGATTGGTCCCAGCTGCTTTGGATCTCCTGCCAGCACCAAATGACCCGTTTCTGCGCAGAGTAAGCCTGTGGAGCAGAGCAACCGAATGGTATGACACATCAGCTTTACCATTTCATTATTTTGGTCCTCCATCACAGCATCAAAACTAAGACTACGGAACAATTCAATTACAAATCACCGCTTCTGACGACTAGATTCAAAAGCTGAAACGGCTGAAAAAAAAAACCCAACCCTTTGAACGACTTTGTAAAATGTGCTTATAGATTGTTTTTCCAACTTTCTGAAACTACAAACCCATTAATTTTGCATCAGACCTTTAAAAATTTGGTCTAAATTTCTACTTTAAATTACAAACATCTAAAATGAGAATTAAATCAAATTGATGCGTTTTAAATTTCTCAAGTACTTTGTTTTACTTCAAGCGAATTATCATTTTAGAGTTGCAAACATTCGTTTTCAATTTCTCTTAATAAGATTAGAAACAATCAAACTTGAGCATCGAGAAACATGGGGATTAGTGAGTCTGGATATATCAAAAATCTAAAACTGTTAAGAACTCCACTCTCCAGGTTTTTGAGTTGTCCCTGGATAGGAAGTGAACCGTCTTCAACTCCAGTTGTTTGATTTTCAATCTTTTTTATTTATTCATCATGTTTGAAATGACTGAGAATCTACACCAGCATATTTCAAAGATTCAAAATGATAGTCGTGTTGAAAAGACACGTTATTTACAATTTTTATAAAGCTATTTAATTCTTTATAAATTAGGTTTTAATGACAAAGATCGCAAAAATATGACATTTTGACTAAATGTTTCCATAAAACTTAAGATTTGTGCTTTTAAAACTCTCAGTAATTACCTGCAATGGCAATGACACACTGTGGCTCTTCAGCTTGACCTGCTTCATCGATAAACACATGTGAGAAATGGCCGACATGGATCCCTCCTGTCACAAGTCTACAGAAAATAAAAAAATAAAAATAAAAAAACACAAGCAAGGTTTAATTCCAGCCTAACACTGTGCAGAAGAGATTCTGAGTGCACAAAAGTATCACCCACCTGCCTGCTGTGAACAGAGTTGTGACAATAACTCTATACCCAATCAGAACGTCCTTCTCTGGAAACACAAAACAACCTTGGTCCTTGTCCCAGTTACAGTTTCTCTGAAAGAAACAGAAACAGCAAACGTTTTCGAACACCGGTACAAAGGGGTACATTTGTATTTGCACAGGTACAGTAGTTCCTCGTTACTTCACAGTTCGACTTTTGTGGACTCGCTCTTTCGCAGTTTTTCAAAGTAAGATTGTACATGACACGATTGTCAACGTTAATATTACTCAGGTGATTGGTATAGTACGGGTTACAGTAAAAAGTTTTAAAAAATTAAATACTTCGGATAGGTTCTGCCATTTTGCAGTTTTCTCTCAATAAGCCTACACTGTATCTCCAGTCAACAGGACTACATTACCCAGAAGCCAAAGTTGCTTTCTGATAAAATGGAGGCAAAGTTTTGATCCGATCCGAAAAAGTTAGGTCCTTATTCATAGTGACTTCGGTGCTCAGTGGATGCAGAGAGCCGTACAGAACCGACCAGGAATTGGACCAGAACCGGACTTCCAGACTCATCGGTCAGTCTGAGTGTTGCTTGCCAGACCATGAGGCCTCTCGAGAGGGGAAGCGCTGCTTGGAGGTCTGGTGTTTTCTCTGTAGCTCACCAGGCCTTTTTTAATTGGATATGAACTCAGTCGGGACCATTGTGTGGTTTTGAGCTGGCTCTCTGAAGGTCCAGCTCTCTCGAAAAGCATCTTGGTGCTCAAGGACTATGGAGCCAATCAGAACCGGACCAAGGCTGGTTAGGTCTGCCAAACTGGAACTGAGCTGGACCGGAACAGAGCTGCTGAGTAAAATTTTGCAGTACAGTGGTCCCTCGCTACTTCGCTTTTTGTTTTTCGTGGACTCACTCTATCGCGGTATTTCAAAATAAAATTGGACACGACACACAATAGGCTGATTGATGGATGAGCTGCATGATCGGCATGGAATTATTATTTTAAATAAACTATTTTGCACCGGCTGCACCTTTGTGCAGCCCACATTGCAGGATAAGCTTCCTCCTGCAGCTGATCAGCTGGTCTCGATGCAGAGCAGAGACGTGGGCGTGGCCGAAAGCACTTGCAGGTGGCACAGAGCAGCTGAGGCACAGAGCTGAAATCATGACATTCTGTGCTCTTTTACAGTATTTAAACTTTAGAAACATTGTTTAGAATATTGCAAGAGTGTGGGAAGGGTTTAACACGCCATATAAATAAAACATATATATAGATAAATACTAAAATAATATAAATAATAACTACCAAAGTTTTGTTGATCTTTTTTATTTGTAAATAATAGACTTTTGTGAACGATATAGCGTCTTGAGTTCCTATGACGTTACGACTAGTCGACGTCGACTTTTATCATGTTGAAGTCTACTTTAAAAAACAATTCATGCAAACCTTAGTACATATATGTTGTTAAAATGACGAAGGTTTGGATTTAGAACACTACACGAGTGTGAAAAGGGTTTATGAAGTCTTAGAATTTTAAGGCATTAAGTTGAGTGAATAAACAATGAACTTATCTTGATTAATAAACTCTTGCTATAGTTTAGTTGATTTAAATTTATTAGTTAACTGAACTGCTTTGGTATCTTGTTTCAGCTCAGAAATCTATGTAAATTAAGTGTTAAATAAATAAAAAAAATAAATATAGCATTCCTACTTCGCGTCCGGAACGTAACCCCCACGATAAACGAGGGACTATTGTAATTCTGTTTACTTCCTGGTTACAAAAGTGCTCTAAATTTAGATCAACAAACAAACTGATCATTAAAATGCTGAAGAGGTGGAGGGATACGTTGACTCAGACAAGAAACTATCTTTGCTTTAATTCATTTTACACAAGGTTTAGACAGTTGATGAACAATTCGATGTATGCGTGTGTTTATTCAGTGGGCTCACACTGAACGGTTGTGCAAACAGCAGCTGATGCTCACCAGCAGGGTTTGGGGGAGACTGTTAGGGTCTCGGCTGCTGGCGAACATGCGATACAGCTGATTGGAGTCCATGTGCATCTGCAGCCTCTCACACAGCAAATCAGCTGCGTTGTTTGAAGGTGTGCAGGCGAGGATGTGGGCGGAGCCATTTGCCCTGCAGATCTACAAGACAAAACTTTATTAGTGATTTTTTTTTTATTTTTTATAAGCTACTTATGTTCAGTCTCAATACATGCTTTTAATAGAAAAGACTGTTATTGAAGATTTGGTACTCTTTTTGGGACAAAGTCCTTTAAAAGTCAAAAACTCCATTTAATTAATAACTTTGAACCATCAAAAAGTAGGTCAATTAACTTTAAGTTTACTATAATAGTTCAGTCATATGTGATTTTGATCTTCTTTATAAAAATCATTATCCAGTGATTTTGGACCCGAGTAAAGATTGAAAAAATACAAAGAAAATACAAATTTTGCCTGAAAGTTTCTCCAAAATGATTAGGGTTGCTAAAATAAATAAATAAACATACCAACAACAGATTATGATCCTTGTTAAAATCTGACTGGCAGGTGGAATTCACCTCAATATCATAAATCACATGAATCTACCACTCGTTACCTGAGCTATAGCTTCAACCAAAGTAATGGTCTTTCCAGTTCCTGGAGGCCCAAAGACAATATAAGGAGCAGGCTTTGATGATCCAGCAACGATGTGACAGACGGCATTACGTTGTTCCATGTTTTCTTCCAGCTGACGATTGAGCATACTAAAGAGTAATGCAGAGTAACGCATTATGTTTAGAAATAAGTCAAAACAATATTAGAAAACATCAAAATCAAGCTGATGGCGGCCCGTTTTATGCTCGTTTGAAATCATATTTGTATATTTAAAGAGATTTTTACAGTGGCCCTGAAGTTTAAACCCCAACTGCAAATGAAAAAAAGACAAATACAAATTCAAAAAACAACCTTTGAAAAAACGCTATTACATTTGAAGAAACATTTAAAAAATGCAAATACATCTGCAAAACACAACTTGAAAAAACACGACATTTGAAAAAAATGCAATTACATTTGAAGAAATACAATTGCGATAAGTGTAATCAGAAGAGGTGGGACCAGAGAGAAACATGAGGCACCGCTGATTGGACGATGGGGCGTTTGAACCTTCCACCTTTCCTGGTTTTGCTTAATGTAATTGTGTTTTTTCAAATGTAATTGTTTTTTTCAAATGTTGTTTATTCAAATGTAATTGTGTTTTTTTCAAATGTTGTTTATTCAAATGTAATTGCATTTTTTCAAATGTGTTTTTTTTTAAATGCATTGTTTTCAAATGTAATTTTGTTTTTCTTTTTTTTTTTTTCAAACGTAATTGCTTTTTTCAAATGTAACTGTATTTTTCAATTTTTTTTTTTTTTTTTTTAAATGATTTTTTTCCCCCCTTACTGGTAAATGCATTTTTTTTTTCAAATGCTGTGCTTTTTTCCAAATGTAATTGCGTTTTTTTCAAATGTTGTTGTGTTTTTTAAAATTGTAGTTGTGGTTTAAACTTCAGGGCCACCATAGTTAATAGTTGTTAATATTATTTTGAACAGTTTCAACCTTTTTGTAGTCATTTATCAATATGTTGCTGTCTGGATTATCTTTTTTTCATTCTTTCAATTCTGATTGCATTATTGTTTGTTGTTTCTTTTTTATTCTGACCTGAGTTGTGGGATGGAAACATTTGGCACTGCAGCATCGGAAGGAAACAGAACCTCCTTCAGCTGATGTTTTACGGCCAAGTCCACGGCTCGGTGCTGCAGCTTCAAAGTAAGCCGGTTGACGGTAAAATGTACGTCAAACTTCATATTGTTGACAAATTTCTCCAACAAGCTGAAATGAGGAAAAAGCGGAAAACGTGTGGACAAGGTTCTGAGATGCTGTGAGCTGTCAGCGAAGTAGCCCAACTCTTACCTTTTAGAGAAGCCCAGCTTCACTTGGTCCAGCTCTACTTTGTGAACGTATCCAGTGTACGTGACCGCTGAGGTTTTATCTTCAGACAGGGTCACTCTAATGCAATCTCCTCGAAGTACAGAAGGACGATTTTCAGCAACCCCAGGGACCTGTTTGATGAGATTAAATAACAGTTTTCAGTTTAACAGTAGCTTGAGGACTGCCTAAAGTAGTATTTGATTAGAAAATGTACAAGAGAAACTGAGTTTAGCTGCCTTAAGTGCAGCAGACATGAGAGGTGCTTTAACAGAACATAGATGTCTTCCTGTTGGTGCTCAAGACAAAGGTATTGCTTTATTCCAAGTGAAAACAAAGTCAAAGAAAAGAAATACTGCATTACAAACAAAAAGGAAATAAAGGAGTATAAAACATATTTTAATTAATATTTGTTTTACTTTCAGTACGAGCAGTTTTTTGTTGCCTTCATCTTGGGTCATGGGTTGGTTGTGGAGGTCGTACTTTCTGATGTCCACTCTCATCTGGAACTCTTCCAAGTGAAGCAGGTTGTGGAATCGACAGGCATAGTTCTGCATATCCAAAAGAGACTCCAGAATTTTTTTAATCTTCCTAGAAGCAAAACGCAAACAGGAGCCTAATTTCATGATCAGTTCTTCACTAACAAACAGGACTTTTTCACTTTTGCGGTATGTATCTCACTCCACATCCCCATGGTTCTTTTGGACTATTGGAGAGGGGCCCTTTAAGTCCATTCTGGTTTTAGCTAGTACTGGCAGGTACTCGGGGCACTTATAATCTTCTAATTTGACTACAACCATCTGACAGGCAGCAAAACTAGGAGTAAAAAAAAACAACAACACACATTTTAATACGCATGAAGGAACACAAGACATAAAACTTTGGATCAGATAACTCACACTTGAGGTGGTACTCCTTCCACAACCCGAGTAGCAGCAGGTTTGGATTTGACCCACTTGAATGGTTTATATGGTTTTACAGGCCGCAGCTCAGCAGCCAGTTTGGTTTTGACTGAAACTTCAACCTCTCTGACAATGGAGAAGCTCTCTGGCTTCAGCACATCCATCTTGAACTCAAAGTAGATCGTGGCAGGGAAATATCCGCACTGATTAGGCTTGAAACAAACGGCTATGTCATAGCTTTCTTCTGTGGAAAGAAAAAAGAAGGTATGAAAGAATATACAATAGTCCCTTGCTACTTTGTGGTTCGACTTTCGAGGACTTGCTCTTTTGCCGAGGACTCGCCTTTTTGCCGTTTTTCAAAGAACAGTAAGTTTGTACACAAGAAAAAAGTACACGACATGATTGTCAACTTTAATAATATGCACGTGATTGGGATAGTATGGGATACTGTACATTAAAAAGTTTACAAAAAAACTCACTTTGGACAGGCGCTGCCATTTTGCAGCTTTCTCTCAATAAGCCTTCACTGTATCGCCACTCAAAACAACTATATTTCCCAAAAGCCAACAGTGACCCACACCCAGAAGCCCCATTGTCTTCTGCTGAACTACGTTGAGGGAAAGTTTTGATTTGATCTGAAAAAGTTTGGTCCTTATTCATAGTGACTTTGGCGCCCAGTGGATGCAGAGAACCGACCAGAACTGACCGGGAACTGGACTAGAACCGGACCTCCAGACTCATCGATGAATATGAGTGCCAGCCCACAAGGCCTTTTGATCGAGGAGGCACCGCCTGAAGGTCCGGCATTCTCTCCGAAGCCCACCGGGTCTTTTTTCATCTGGATTTGGACTCATTCGGACCACGGTCTGGGCTCGTGATGACTATCTAAAAGTCTGGCTCCCTCCAAAAGCGTTTTTGTGCTCAAGAGCTGGAGAGGGCCGACTAGAACCGGTAGGTAGGTCCGGCATGGTAGGTCTACCGAGCCGAACCGGATGTGAGACGCTGTCTTCTGCAGAGCTGGTGAGTAAAATTTTGCGTACTGTGCAGTATACTTAGGTATGTTGTTAAAAAGACATAGGTTTAAGAGTTTAGAACATTGCAAAAGTGTGGGAAGGGTTTCTAAAGCCTTTTCAATATATATAAATACTAAAATAAATATAATGTCCCTACTTCACAGATTTTCACTTATTGGGGGGGACGTAACCGCCGCGATAAACAAGGGACTACTGTATACCCTTTGACCTTTTGAGTATTGTTACCCCTTCAAAAGGCAGATGATAAGTGTTTGTTGGCTCACCAGGACAGAGAAGAAGTTGACGGGTCTTTGCTACATTCCTTTCATCCTCCAAAGTGAAAAAGCGAATTCTATCAAGGACAGTGCAATTGGTAAAGTAGATGTTGTTTGGTCCCTTGTTGATAATGTGGAACGTCACACACGGCTTCTTCTTCTTCTTCTTCTGAACATCCTCGAGGAACTGAACCTTTCCATCTCTTGATTTGGAGTTTGAGGTGATTACAATTCCCTCTTTATCAGCTGACATCTGTTTCCTGCGAGGGACAAACATGATCAAGGTTTGATCTATACATGTTGAAACACTTGTAATAACTGTTTTATAAATAAATATATACACTAGGGGTTGAACGAGTATATAATTTTTAAACTCGACATTAACATAATAAAACCAGAGTAGAACTCGAGTATTTGATGACGTCATAGATCTCAAGATACAAAAATAAATAAATAAATAAATAAAACCGCAAAAAAAGGTAATTATTTACATGCTGGTGAAGATTCTCAGTCATCCAGGACATGATGAATTCAAAAAGCGTTCAATACAAAAATAACTGGACTTTATTTGTAACAGAAGACGTTTCGCTCCTCATCCGAGGAGCTTTCTCAATTCAAAGAGCAGAGAGTGAGAGATTCAGGTTATAAGGCTGAGTGAGATAAGACACACACACACACACACACACACACATGTAAATTGGCAATTCACACCTAAACAACCTTAACAGTAAGAGTCTTTTGTTCCTCTAATTCACAGACGAGGCCCCTCTGTTTCCATCAGGTGTGAAAACCGGCTGGGAATCTGTTTTAAAGTTGCATTATATGTTTTTGAAAGTGGAAATCTGAGGCCTCCTCCTCTGTTAAGAGACGGCTTTTCTCTTTTTACATAAACTGCTTCCTTCACCCCCCTCTCAAATCATCTGTGTTCTCGGTCCAAAATGTGCACATTTTGGTCCTCAAAAGAGTGTCCCTTATCTGTGAGGTGGAGGTGAACAGCTGAGTCTTGCTGGTGAAGATTCTCAGTCATCCAGGACATGATGAATTCAAAAAGCGTTCAATACAAAAACAACTGGACTTTATTTGTAACAGAAGACGTTTCGCTCCTCATCCGAGGAGCTTTCTCAATTCAAAGAGCAGAGTGTGAGAGATACAGGTTGTAAGGCTGAGTGAGATAAGACACACACACACACACATAAGACACACACACACACATATATGTAGATTGGCAGTTCACACCTAAAAACCTAAACAGTAGGTCTTTGTTCCTCTAATTCACAGATGAGGCCCCTCTGTTCCCATCAGGTGTGAAAACCGGCTGGGGATCTGTTTTAAAGTTGCATTATATGTTTTTGAAAGTGAAAATCTGAGGCCTCCTCCTCTGTTAAGAGACGGCTTTTCTCTTTTTACATAAATTGCTTCCTTCACCCCCCTCTCAAACCAACCGTGTTCTCGGTCCAAAATGTGCACATTTTGGTCCTCAAAAGAGTGTCCCTTATCTGTGAGGTGGAGGTGAACAGCTGAGTCTTGTCCTGTGGAGCTGGCTCTCCTGTGTTGAGCCATGCGTCTGTGAAGAGGCTGTTTAGTTTCTCCAATGTAGAGGTCTGGACGGTCCTCGCTGCACTGGACCGCATACACTACACCACTCTGTTTGTGTGTGGGTGTTTTGTCTTTAGGGTGGACCAGCCTCTGTCTGAGAGTCCTGCTGGGTTTGAAATGTACTGGGATCATGTGTTTGTTGAAGATCCTTCTGAATTTCTCTGATACTTCAGCAACATAAGGGATGACAATGTTTTTAACGTCTGCTGTTCTCCTTTTTCAGTTTATTGGTGTGTTTTGTAGATTTCCTCACTGACTTGACAAAAGCCCAGTTAGGATATCCACATGTTTGAAGAGCTTCTTGAATGTGTTTCTGTTCCTTTTCCTTCCCTTCTGTCTTCGTGGGGATGCGTTCGGCCCGATGCTGTAAAGTTCTGATGACAGAGAGTTTGTGTTCCAGTGGATGGTGGGAGTCAAACAGAAGATACTGGTCTTTGTGGGTTGGTTTTCTGTAAACTTCAATGTTGAGGCTGTCCTCTCTCTCCATCTGAACCAAACAGTCCAAAAAAGGCAGTTTGTTGTTGTTTGCATCCTCTCTGGTGAACTTGATGTTGTTATCGACCGAGTTAATGTGTCTGGTGAACGCTTCTATTTCCTTAGCTTGGATTTTGACCCAGGTGTCATCCGCATAACGGAACCAATGGCTTGGCGTTGTTCCCTCATAGGAGTTTAGGGCTCTCTGTTCCACTTCCTCCTTGTAGAGATTGGCAACAATGGGTGACACTGGAGATCCCATGGCACAGCCGTGCTTCTTTCTGTAAAAACTGTCATTGAACTTGAAATAAGTGGTGGAGAGGCAGAGATCCAACAGGGTGCAGATCTGGTCTGGGGTGAAGTTGGTCCTGTTGATTAAGTCCTTGTCTTGTAAAAGTTGTTTTCTGACGGTTTCTACTGCTTCAGAGATGGGTATCGATACAAGGGTTTCTCCTGGGGTTAGTTTCAAGTGTTGAACTTTGTTAGCAAAATCAATGGAGTTCTTTATGTGACGAGGTGTGTTTCCAACAAGAGGAGCTAAAAATTATTTTGTATTTTGTAATTATTATTGTAATTATTTACAAAAAAAAAAAAAAAAAGACCAACAAAACATTGGGAGCGTATATTATGCTCCTACCATTTATCATACTGCAAATAAGTCACAGGAAAAACTAAACTATTAGTTATTATTATTAAACTGCAAACGTGAAGAAACGTGCAGCAAGTCAAAAACGAAACTTAAACCGAAACTGGTTCTGGTGGATTGGACCCAGTGTTACACCATACGCTGTGACCTGCAACAGTGCAACACCGCCCCCTACGGGCATTCGGTGGTCACATAATATGACGTCACTACGGATACTCGACGTAACATTTTTAACCTCGATAGATGTCCTAGCAATTGATGCGTTGATTACTCGAGTACTCCGTAAATGCCCTAATATACACTGCATGGCCAAAAAAAAGTCACCACAAAAAAAAATTGTTTTAAAGGTTACACACTAATATTTTGTTGGACCGCCTTTAGCTTTGATTATAACATGCATTCAATGTAGCATTGTTTCAATAAGCTTCTGCAATGTCACAAGATCTGTTTCCATCCAGTGTTGCATTATTTTTTCACCAAGATCTTACATTGATGCCTAGACACTAGGCATGATGGGTGCATCACTTCACCTGCCTCTCTTCTTACCCTGATGCGCCCATCACTCTGGAACAGGGTAAATCTGGACTCATCAGACCACATGACCTTCTTCCATTGCTCCAGAGTCCAATCTTTATGCTCCCTAGCAAATGTAAGCTTTTTTTTCCCTGTTAGCTTCACTGATTAGTGGTTTTCTTTAGGCTACACAGCTGTTCAGTCCCAATTCCTTGAGTTCCCCTCTCATGTGCATGTGGAAATGCTCTTACTTTCACTATTAAACATAGCCCTGAGTGCTAATGTTGTTTTTCTTCTATTTGATTTCACCAAACATTTAAGTGATCGACAATCACGAACATTCAGGGATTTTTTTTCTGGCCACATTTCGTCCTCAAAGACGATGGGTCGACACATCCCTTCTAGTTTTTAATAATGTGTTGGACAGTTCTTAACCCAGTTTTAGTAGTTTCTGCATTCTCCTTAGATGTTTTCTCTGCTTGATGCAGCCAATTATTTGACCCTTCTCAAACAGAGTGACATCTTTTCAACGACCACGTGATGTCTTTCAACATGGTTGTTTAAGAAATGCGATGCAACTCATTGCACCAGTTGGGGTTAAATAACTTGTTACCAGCTGAAAGATAATCGCCCATGCAGTAATTATCCAATAAGAGGCTCGTACCTATTTGCTTAGTTAAACCCAGGTGGCGATTCTTCTTTTTTTGGCCAGGCAGTGTAATTTACGGCGCAGAGGTTAGAGAGGTGGGCTTGTGATCCGAAGATCGCCGGGTCACGCCCCGGCTTCGACAACATCAAAATTGTGGGTGGGGTAGGTGAAACACCCACACTTGCCCCCACCCTCATTCGCCCCACTCTGGGCCCATGAGCAAGGCCCTTAACCCCCACCATGTGCTCCCTAAACAGGTCTCTCTTGAAAATGAGTTCTCGTGGCTCAATGAGACTAACCTGGATAAATAAAGGCTAAATGAAAAAAAAAATTTACAGAAAAAAACCATTCAATTGTGTTAAGGAGGATTTAAAAAAAAAAAAGTCCACAATAACATTCTACCAAAGAGTCCTTTAGGAACAATGGGGGTGGTTCTTTCACACACTCAGACTGTAGGAAGAATCCTCCCTTTTAGGAAGAGATATGCACAACACTCAGATGTTACACTTCCAAGGTCAGATGGATAAGTTCTCACAGAAAGGGCCTTGCAGCTCTGCTGAGATCATAACAGGTGTGCAATTAATTATAACAATAGATTTGTGTATATTTTTTAACATGGTTTCTTCCTGTCCAGCTTTATGAACGAGAGTCAGTCTTACTTTTAAAGTATCAAAAGAATAAAAGTTGACAGTAGAAAATCCTTGACGTGCCCCTACGCAAAAATGTTTATGCCCGTGTACAAATTTTAAAATACAATAGTTAAAGTATACCAAATGAGGTAAAATACACAACAAAAAAAGCTTGGTCTTGTTTCACAACTCTCAAGATTATTTCACATTATACAACTACCACAGATATGATCATATTTCCTTTATGTGAGACTTTTGTCTGCTACCCTTTTGACCAAGACACACCGTGGACAGTATGCAAGACAGAAAAACTATAAAAATGGAAAGAATTTTCTATGTTGCATAGGCTCATTCAACAAAGTAAATCTGCAACAAGCAAATTACACACACATACATGCATACAAAGCCCTATCCATACCTACATGCAACACAGCCCCTCATCAGTTTGTTACACACATGCAGCAGTCTGGTATCACCAAGCAGAAAGGAGCAGAACAGCAGACAAAATGCTCAACACTTCCATGACACAAATTTAAGTTTAGGGCTAGTTTAGAGTGTGCACATGGACTAATATATCTCAAAGAGTGCACATCTTATTCAGTAGTGTGTTATTTTCCACCCCAGTACTGAATGCATTAATAAAATGAGTAGCTGGTATTGTTTACACTCTCCGTTTAAGCACAACTCTTTTACTGATTAAAGTACCATAAAGCAGCAAAGGTTAGGTAATAGTGCTTAAGAAATATCCTGATACATGCTTAAGAAATACTTGACGGTAAAGGGCGTAACCAAATATGACAAGCTGATATTACGTAAGTTCCAGCAGTAGAAAATGCCTTCATGATGTGCCATTTAAACCGGTGGCAACATGCATGAATCTCAAGATGTAAATGGTAAACAAGCTGGGCAGATGGAAATAAATCTGCCAAAAAAATTCCCGAGGGAAACAGTGGGCAAAGGCCTGCAGGATGTAGACCGTGCTGCTAAAGCTGCAGCAGACTCCATCTGAAGGACAATGTGAAATCTGTTTGTCTGCTCTCACCACTTCATCATAGGTGTGGTGCAATTTGATGTAATGAAAACAAATAGTGTCCTACATGAATTTAAGACCTACTGTAGCAATGATTGGTCAGAAAATGCCATACGCAGGGATAGATTGGTGTTTTATTGCGTGCTGGGTTCAAGCCATCCTCTGGACATATTAAAAGTTAATGAGGCTGGGCTTTGAAAGGCTTCAAATTCTACTATGTTTTAGAACAAGTGCTACATATATGGTGCTAAAACCATGAAGTAATAAGAGTCTGTAGTACTCTACTACTGGTTATTCATTCAGGGTTAGTTTTCCATGCTGTTGCTGGCAGTTTGTGTCTGGCACATTTTCAAGCCACAGAACTCCAAATACTGTACAAACCTGGCCTTAACACCTGGAGAAAAGTAAGAAAAAGCAATCATAAGACATGGCTGGAATAATTGGGACAAATATTTTTGTGTTTATCAATAAACTGCTGATACAGAATTTACAGTTTCCATTAATTACTCCCTCAAAATGGCGACTAACTAGGTTGCTATCTGGAGTATCGTCACCGATTCTGAGAATGTTCACGTCAAACTTTTAGAAGTATAAACCAAATGCAGAAGGGTTTGACGATAATAAATATGATGTCATTGAAACACAGAGCCATACTAGTGCTGGTTGGTTAATGACTCACATGGGTCAATGATCAGGAATCAGGACTCGTGTGTGCACTGATCAGGGTTAACCTGACATGTAGGTTCAGGTTAACCCTGGTCCTACATGACAGCCACTTAGTATGAGTTAGAAAACATCTGGAAACACTGCAGCCTCACATGAGTAAGGTCTCTGAGTAAGAAAGTCATGGGATGTGCTGTGCAGTGTGACTGACTCAACGGAGACTGATCACTTTAGTGTAGAGGTGGGCAACATTTTTTTCCAAAGAGCCACATCAAGAAGTTTAAAGCAACTAAAGGGCCACATAAATAATTGAAAAATACATTTTGTTTATGACAGATAATCTAGAAGACCTTTGTCTTATTGTAGTACAGTTAGCATGCTTTATAACGTGTCTTTCCAGTACCCTTTAGGAATACAAGACATATTGTGTAAACTGGCTCTTGTGACAATATATTATACATGTTAGCTTAACATGTTATACATGTTAGCAGAAATATGCAAAACACTCATAATTTTGTGTTTCTACGTCTTTAAAGTTCTGGAAACACAATGACTTAAAAATGTTTATAAAAAGTTTTGTGTAAGATGTTTAATTTAAATTCCCTTAAGTCTTGTTGATAAATGGCTGTTTGTTTTTTTAAATCAATCCATCCATCCATTATCTTTTACCCGCTTCTTCCTTTTTGAGTCCCGGGAGTCACTGGTGCCCATGTCCAGCCAGCACTGGGCGAGAGGTGGGGGACACCCTGGACACGTCTCCAGTCCATCACAGGGACACATAGAGACAAACAACCATTAACTCTCTCACTCACACCAAGGAACAATTTAGAGTTACCAATCAGTTTAAAGACTCGCACAGACTCGGGCGGTCCTCAGTCCGCACGGAAACTGTGCGCACCGTCCGCAGAGGGTTGAGACTTCATACTCGAGCGTCCACCCTGAGCGGCTGCAGCTCAGCTCCCCAGGCAAGGGGCGTTTACCTTCAGGACAAATTGAGTTTGACGATTGGTCATTTGCCGACACGCCTACTGGATTGATTGACAGGTCACAAAAAAAAAAAAAAAAAAAAAAGGGAGCACTGGCCCTGCAGCCCACACATCAGACCAGCCCACCAGGAAATCTCCAGACTCTCCCACAGCCACTCGGGACCTGATTTTGATTCGCTCGTAACAAATTCCTTAATTTCTCAGAATTTCAGTCACGGCATCAACGGAGGAGAAGGAAGAGATCGCTTGCCTCTTGAAAAAAAAAAAAAAAGTCCATTAAACCAGATCAGGGATGAAGAAGGGGAATTGAATACATTGGTGTCACATACAAAACAGTCCGTCAGTTTATTGTGCGACACAGAGTATACGTACGCAGTCGTAAAAATTGAGCTTTGCACTGACATGCCCTGCGGGTGTCCGCTTCAACTCTAATCCGGTACGTGCGGACCTCCGCGGACTGACATCTGCGCGAGTCTGTGGGAGCCTTAACACGCATGTTTTTGGTCTGTGGGAGGAAACCAGAGTACCCGGAAAAAACCCATGCATGCACAGAGAGAACATTCAAACTCCACCCTTAAGGCCCCCGGATCGAGATTTGAACCGAGGCAACCTGCTCGCTGAGAGGCAGCAGCTCTACCAGTTGCACCACAGTGCTGCCCTTTTTAATCAATCATTTAAAAACACACACATATATATATAAACTAAGCACATTGGGGGCCTGATGGCGACTGTACAAGTGGCCCTCAGGCCTTAAGTTGCCCACGTCTGCTTTAGTGAGTGATTCAGATCAAACGGAGCCATTTTAACATACCAGTGCGTTTTCATCATCTTGATGGTTTGTGTGGCCATTCCTTTGTTTGAGGTCAGCTCAGAAGGCGTGGAGGTCTCAGGTGCCTCTGCTGGTTTCTGGCCTCTGTCACTCTCACTGTGTTGTTGAGAGGTGGACTGGTCAGACTTTAAAACCTGCAACAAACAGGATGCATCCTCACTGCTTCTTCGTTTTTCATGTGTGAAGTCAACATGTCCAGACTTGTCTCAGCAGAAGTGCGCATGACTTGAAGACATCTTACCAGAGGTTTAACTTGTCTGTAGAACTTCCCCTTTTTCATACGGATCTCGTCGGACACTAGCAGAGCGTAGACAACGTTGCAGAAGTTGGTGTGTTTTGTTGCATCTCTGCGAACGCGGGAACAAGTCACGTGTTAAACCAACACCTATCCGAAAGTCTCGGCATGTGAAAACACGGAGCCTACCTGCTCCTAAACTCGTTGTTGTAGATGTTTCTAAGCTCTTCTTTGCGGTTGTTTGCCTCCAGTCTGTCGCCCAGAAAATCAAGGAAGTGCAGTCCGGACTCCAGCGACTGTTTTACCTTCGGCATGTCGACAGGATTTTTACACAACGCCGGTGTTCAAAGAGGAAGTTCAGAGAGAGCCGCAAAAACTTGCAGGAAATCCAATAAACCTTGTTAGGAGGTGTGTAAAAATTATTCATGCAAGGAAGAACGAAAACTACCCGTGACACAACATATGACACGAAAATAAACTATTTTAAGACTGCTGTTTCTATATTTAAATGCCAATTACAGTATCTTAGTTCGCATTTCTGATCCTGATCAGGCTATGTGCACTAGTATACCTGACGTATTTCCACAGGGTAAGCTTCATTCATACACCGGAGTGTCTAGGCGGAGTCAGGTCACTTCGACCACACGGTTGATGGCAGACATATACGTCATATACGTACACGCCTTGTTGTGCCCTGTTGTGCAGGTATAGCAAGCCCTTTTAACATAAAATCGAGTAGACTGACTATCTGTAGTTACATTGTAGATATCTACAATTTTGACTAGGCACAATTACATTTTGACTAGTCAGAATGCTAATTTAAGATATTTTGACTAGTCAAAATATAATTAAAGATATCTTAAATAACTAATACAGGTCCTTCTCAAAAAATTAGCATATTGTGATAAAGGTCATTATTTTCCATATTGTAATGATAAAAATGAAACTTTCATATATTTCAGATTCATTGCACACCAACTGAAATATTTCATAATTGTTTTAATACTGATGATTATGGCATACGGCTCATGAAAACACAAAATGCCTGTCCCAAAAAATTAGCATATCATGAAAAGGTTTTCTAAACAAGCTATTAACCTAACCATCTGAATCAACGACGTAACTCTAAACACCTGAAAAAGATTCCTGAGGCTTTTAAAAACTCCCAGCCTTGTTCATTACTCAAAACCGCAATCATGGGTAAGACTGCCGACCTGACTGCTGTCCAGAAGGCCATCATTGACACCCTCAAGCAAGAGGGTAAGACACAGAAAGAAACTGCTGAACGAATAGGCTGTTCCCAGAGTGCTGTATCAAGGCACCTCAGTGGGAAGTCTGTGGGAAGGGAAAAGTGTGGCAGAAAACGCTGCACAACGAGAAGAGGTGACTGGACCCTGAGGAGGATTGTGGAGAAGGGCCGATTCCAGACCTTGGGGGACCTGCGGAAGCAGTGGACTGAGTCTGGAGTAGAAACATCCAGAGCCACCGTGCACAGGTGTGTGCAGGAAATGGGCTACAGGTGCAACAGTGGCAGAAGCGCCTGACCTGGGCTACAGAGAAGCAGCACTGGACTGTTGCTCAGTGGTCCAAAGTACTTTTTTCGGATGAAAGCAAATTTTGCATGTTATTCGGAAATCAAGGTGCCAGAGTCTGGAGGAAGACTGGGGAGAAGGAAATGCCAAAATGCCAGAAGTCCAGTGTGAAGCACCCACGGTCAGTGATGGTCTGGGGTGCCATGTCAGCTGCTGGTGTTAGTCCACTGTGTTTTATCAAGGGCAGGGTCAATGCAGCTAGCTATCAGGAGATTTTGGAGCACTTCATGCTTCCATCTGCTAAAAAGCTTTATGGAGATGAAGATTTCATTTTTCAGCACGAACTGGCACCTGCTCACAGTGCCAAAACCACTGGTAAATAGTTTATTGACCATGGTATTACTGTGCTCAATTAGCCTGCCAACTCTCCTGACCTGAACCCCATAGAGAACCTGTGGGATATTGTGAAGAGAAAGTTGAGAGACGCAAGACCCAACACTCTGGATGAGCTTATGGCCGCTATCGAAGCATCCTGGGCCTCCATAACACCTCAGCAGTGCCACAGGCTGATTGCCTCCATGCCACGCCGCATTGAAGCAGTCATTCATGCAAAAGGATTCCCGACCAAGTATTGAGTGCATAACTGAACATGATTTTTTGAAGATTGGCATTTTTGTATTAAAAACACTTGTATTTCATTGGTGGGATGAAATATGCTATTCTTTTGGGACAGGCGTTTTGGGTTTTCATGAGCTGTATGCCATAATCATCAGTAATTAAGATTAATCAGATTTGATTAATTGTTTAATCAAAACAATTAAAGACCTGAAATATTTCAGTTGGTGTGCAATGAATCTGAAATATACGAGTTTCATTTTTATCATTACAATATGGAAAATAATGACCTTTATCACAATATGCTAATTTTTTTAGAAGGACCTGTGTATGTATATATATATATATATATATATAATATATAATATATATAATATATATATATATATATAATATATATATATAATATATATATATATATATGTTTTGGAAGTCAAATATTTGTATTCAAAACAAAACAATCGAGCCAGAGTTAACATCTATCTTTTATAAATGATTCTAATCAAAACATTGTTAACAGTTATCTTTTACAATGTTAACATGTATCATTTATAAGTAAATTTAACCGATCCACATTTTAATCAAACTATATCTTAACATTTTTCTCAAGTTGTGTCTGTCTGCTGCAGCACAGAACAGTTATGCACTAATGATTATTCTGAGGACACGCAGCTGCTGATAAGACACAGACCAGACAGATCGGCCTTGCACTCAGAGGCAGTTTTGGAGGACGCGCCGCTTGTATCAGGCTCGAAATGATTTACAGTTGAAAGGTGGAAGCTGAGAGACCTCAGCACTAGAAACATCTGATGATGAGACATTCCTCCTCTGCAGAGAGGCGTAACCAGGGACACTTTAAAACATGAGAACACAGGAAGTCTGGTCAGATAATCTGGGGTGAACAGCTTTGTTCTGACTAAGGTGAAGTACCCTTAATTGCTCTGGCTGTCTCCGACCCGGAGCAGAGGTGTTCGTATGTACTAACTAACTCACTCACTCACACACTCCATCCATCCATCCATGGCTTCTGGTGATATCAGTTCCATTTTATAAATTTGTCAGCACAAAATGTAATAAACCAAAATAATTTTATTACAGCAAGTGTGTCTGGAGGTTTAAATTTTGTCTGATTTGGGCAATGCCAACAAAGTACAAATGAAATTACACTGCACAAAACTATAAAACACCTAACAGATTGAAAAACCAAAAGGTACTTCATAAGCCCATTGCTTAACTGACTCGTAAAAAGACAATAAAATTCTGCAGGCAAACATTTGAAAACAGACCATTAGTTGGGTCTGAGTAAATTATCCAAGTTTACAAACACAATAATGAGAGGAAAAATAAAAACTTCTACAAATTGTCTCTAAAGTTTAACATTACAAAACTTGTAAATCGTTTATTCAGACAAGGATGTGGCGTCTACTTCTATCAGGAGAGCAGAACCGTACATATTTCCATTACAGCTCGTCAGTAGTGACGAGGATACATTGACATGGGTGGGCCCTGGCCCATGTTGGGTGCTGCTCTTGGGGGTGGTTGCTGAGTGGATCCAGAACCTACAAAACTATTGCGGGATGGTCCACTTTGAAAAAATGTGACAGAAGTATTCTGGACACTAGGGTTGTCAAAATTGATCCCTGAAGTTGCCATAGGGGGTCTCTGATCAGCTGAAGGTATTGGCATACGGCCTGGTTGGGAGTTGTAGCTCTGGGATGCAGATGGAGGACCGGACATAGATGGACGAGAGGGGTTTTGAGAAGGACCAAGAGAGCCATAGGGGTGTGGCTGGGGGGCACCAGAAGAAGCAGTTCCACTGCTGCTTCCTTGTGACGGCCCAGAGCTGCTGTTAAACAGACTGAGGACTTTAGCTTGAAGCTCCTGCTGATTATCCGGCTTAGTTGAAGCACTTGAATCAGCTGACCGATGACTTGACGACGTAGGAGCACGAGTCGATGGAGAGGGGAGTGCTGCAGACAATGGTGGGGCATCATGACGCACTCCTGCAGAAGCTCCGACGTGGACTGGAGCTACAGAAGAACAAATTCTGTTACTATTTGATGCAAATAACTTTGCGGTGTATATACACTGCCTGGCCCAAAAAAGTCACCACCTGGATTTAACTAAGCAAATACGTACAAGCCTCCTATTGGATAATTACTACATGGGTGATTATCTTTTGCTGGTAACAAGTTATTTAATCCCAACTGGCGCAATGAGTTGCTTCTCATTTCTTAAACAACCACGTTGAAATACACATCGCGTGGTCATGGAAAAGATGTCAGTGTGTTTGAGAAGGGTCAAATCATTGGCATCAAGCAGAGAAAACATCTAAGGAGATTGCAGAAACTACTAAAATTGGGTTAAGAACTGTCCAACGCATTATTAAAAACCGGAAGGATAGTGGGGACACATTGTCTTCGAGGAAGAAATGTGGCCGGAAAAAAATTCTGAATGATCGTGATCGGTGATCACTTAAACGTTTGGTGAAATCAAATTGAAGAAAAACAACAGTAGCACTCAGGGCTATGTTTAATAGTGAAAGTAAGAGCATTTCCACACGCACAATGTGAAGGGAACTCAAGGGTTTGGGACTGAACAGCTGTTTAGCCTTAAGAAAACCACTAATCACCGAGGCTAACCGGAAAAAAATGCCTCAATTTGGGAGGGAGCTTAAAGATCGGACTCTGGAGCAATGGAAGAAGGTCATGTGGTCCGATGAATCCAGATTTACCCTGTTCCAGAGTGAAGGGCGCATCAGGGTAAGAAGAGAGGCAGGTGAAGTGATGCACCCATCATGCCTAGACTTGTGCCTGGTCATCAATGTAAGATCTTGGTGAAAAATTAATGCAACACTGGATGGAAATAGATCTTGTGACACTGCAGAAGCTTATTGAAACAATGCCACAGTGAATGCATGTTGTAATCAAAGCTAAAAGTGGTCCAACAAAATATTAGTGTGTGACCTTTGTTATTGGTGGCAACTTTTTTTTGGCCAGGCATTTTTTTTTTAATTAAATTTTTTTTTTTGAAAGGTATTTAAGTAAATGTTACTACGGTCACTAAAAGCTTGTTAAATATACATCTGTGCACACACGTGCTTCAAGTACAAATGTGTGTAATGCAAACTTGCCCTTTATTGACATGGTTACCTGCAACAGAATCTGCTGAGCCTCGAACA